CTACAAAAGGTTTACTAAAATTTGATACTGTATAAGCATAACTTCTTATCATTAATATTTGCTATCAAACTATACTTTTTTAATTTAATTTGTCTAGTGCAAAATAGCGGAAATAGACATTATTTGAATTTTGGCTCGAACTAAATTTAGTTTAGCCAAATTTAGTAATTTTACCCTTAAGAGTTATTTTAAAATCTTCAGTATCAATTTTTATTTTTAATTACTAAAAAGAGGTGATACCAAGTGCTATCTAATATACTAGTATCTTATAAATTTAATCTGTTATTTTTTATCAGTTATTAGGATCAGTCTGAAAAAGCCACCTGTGCTGTATAAACAATTCTGGCATACTTATAAATTTACGTTTCTAGTTTTGCATAACAGTATTGTATAGCTACCTTATTAAATATTTATATTGTTCATTATAAAATTAACTAAACAGTTTGTTTTTACTATATTATATGTATCTAAATACGATACCCAGAATACTTTACAATTTAAGCAGTATATTTGGTATTATTGTCAAAGGGATTCTATGATCAGTATAGATGGTATACAATAAGTTATACTATATGAGTACCGCAGTAACATTTTATATAAGTGGTTAATCTATCTTTAGTACCTAGGTACTATTCCAAAGTACAATTAATCCGTCTTTAGTATCCGTGTACTTTATATTCTAGACTTCTGAAAATCAAAAGAGGTATTATATATATATATATATTATACCTAGCAGCTAAGGTTAATATAAACCTAACAAAGATAAAAAAGTAAGACCTTCGTCTTGATAGCCAATTTTAATACATATGAATGAGTAATATAAACTTACTTTTAATATAGATATACTCTATCAGCATATATATGTATTGATAGAAACTATGAGAGATTCATTATAAATAAAGTGCATATTCTAATTTAAGTACTGTTGAATATTTTATATAACTATAGCGACTCTTTCATATTCCTGTTTTTGAGTAAAAATACCTAGACAACTCAGAATGAATAATACATCAATTAGTATTTGATAATACTAAGGAATTAGAAAAAGGGCATTGAAATAAAAAAAAAAAACTTAACTAAATTTAAGTAACCATGTTATATTGAGGCCAATTAAAATAGTACTATATCGAACATTTCACATAGCAGTTCTTTTATATCTCTGTTTTAGAAAAAGTACTTGGACAACTTAGAACAAATAATATATTAATTAGTATTTGATAATACTAATGAACTAGAAAAAGAGCATTGAAATAAAAAAAAACTTAATTGAATTTAAGTAACTGCATCATTTGAGGCCAATTAAAATAGTAATAAATATTTCATATAACTATAGCAGCTCTTTCATAACCTTGTTTTGAATAGAGTTACCTAACAACTCAGAACAAATAATACGTTAATTAGTATTTGATGATACTAATGAACTAGAAAAAGAGTATTGAAATAAAAAAAAATTCTTAACCGAATTAACATGTCTTCAAAATATGTTCTTCACAAGTTTAAATGCTTATTACTCACTAATTTATTCCAAATTCCAAACTATAAAAAAATCATAGATTTAAGAAAATAAACTACTCTTGAAATGCTTCAACTTTTAAAATAGTGCAATAGTATAGTAATAAGATATATAAATAGTAGAAGTAGCTACAATAAAGATATATAACAGATAAGGTGATCAAATTAATTGTACGAATCAATCTGCTTTATATCATATTAGCTAAATTATACAAGGATCAATACTCTACATATAAACTAAATTATACCTGGCAAGTTTTAGAATAGTGACCATATTTTTTATACTTTCCACACATACGACTTTTTGTATTATCACCATCTACTCTACTTGAATTTTCATTACTTTACTTCAGTATCTGTTTGCTTTTAGAAACTGCAAATTCAACATTAGATTTCAATCTTTTTGGTGGCTGCCCTTTACCCTTGATGATATTAGGATTTTTGACATCATGATTTTTGATATTATAATTTTCGATATCTTGATTTTTGACATCTTGATTATTATTTATTTGTTAACTATCATCAATTTTATTCTGTATATTATAAAGAAACAACTTGAAAATATCTATTAATTCACATGACTTGTTAGCGTTAATAGCTGAATTGATAGCTTTCTTTGATAATCTTAATAACTCTGCATATATAGTTTTGTTAAGCCTTGTTGAATGAGATTCATGTGAGGTAGTACGAATAGAAAACAAGTGTATAATTCTTTTTCTGATCTGATTGCAAAACACACTTGAATAACTAGCATTTGTTATAGAAATATTTCTTGACTAATATTAAGTTCTAAATACCAACGTGATGGAATAATGGTAATATAAGAATGTAGCTGTCTGGGAATATGTTGCAACATGAAAAAAGTATTGATATATTAGCCCTTTATTTAATAGTAAAAAGCAGGTACACAAATGTGTACCATCATTTATTAATATAACATAATGTCTAATGCTAGTTACTTCAGTAGCATGAATATTCCACACTTCTAAAACTTCTTCTTGAGTGATATTTCTAACTAATGATTTGAAAAGAACTTGCCAAATATCTTATTCATTTTCTCAAATTCTAATACTAACTTCTTCATTATTACTATCCGTCTATAAATAATACATATTATATTAATTCAAGCTTTATAGTAAATTATAAAAAAAAAAAAATAATCTTCCTCAATTAATTGTTGCTATTCTTTAATACGGCTAACATCATAGCAAACTGACTGATTCATTTGCAATTCTTGTTTTCCTAATATGATAGATGTCAAAAATTGTTTAAGTATATTGTCAATAGGCTTAAAAAATCTAGTGTTTAATGTTGGTAACCCAACTGTCAGTAAAGCACTACGTTCGATCTCAAATTTTTCAAAAATTTTGCCACTTTTAATATAATTCTTAATATTATTTAAAAGATCGCACAAAGAAGTAGCTCTATTAACTTTATCATGCAATTGCTTATTAATCGACTCTATCCTTTGCGTACTTTGAACCTAGCTATAAATTGGTTACATATCCAAGAGATTTTCCATGCCTCTTTGTTAGAATAAAGTGTTTCTGATATATATTTAGCTGAATTAGAATATTGATCAAGCAAATGAAGCCATCAGGCTTCAAAAAGCTTATTACATAAAGAATTTCGGCAAGAATAAAATTTTTGCCTAAATTCTTTAAATTGAGAACCCAACTTACTTATGAGTTTCTTATGAAGATTAAGGTCTATATGGAAAATACACAACAAATAACTTGTGTTAGGATGAATTTCTTTAATTGCATTTATCAAGAATGAGTCAGAATCAGTGAATATGACTTTAGGAGTTACACTTGTTTCTTCTAATAGTAAAAATCCAACAAAAAGTATTAAGTGTTTTGTTATCTATAATAGCAGATGTGATGATCCTAGACTTTAAGTGATTGTCAATAATAATAACAACAAAGAGCATCATTCTAAACCTATTTGTGTTTGATATTGTATCTAAAATTACGATGTCATGAAAAGTTTTATATAAAGATCATTGTGATAAGGATATCCATAACAATCTACTTAATTTTCGAGATGAAGGTTCTAAATATGCTTTTACTATCCATAAAAGATCGAATTCTTTCCAATTTAATAACATCTGAAGCATTTGAGATGTATCTAATCCCTGGATTATTTTCAGCCCAGAACTAATATATTGCATTTTAAAGATCTTTCTTAATAATAGGTAATCTTGCTTAAGTAGTAGGTAAATAGACCCAGAATCTATTTGACCAAGTATTATATATTTTTTTATATCTGCTAATATTTCTGGTGTTAATTTCCTAAAATGTGGTGCTGTTTGATATATAGATAGGATAAGAATATGAGTATGACAGTTATTAAATGAATTAATCCCTAATATATTATTTGTCTTGAGAAAAGTAACATTAAGCCGCTAGGGACATCCAGTACATTGTAAAAACACATTCCTTCACATAGTTGGGTCAGAAGTTACCTGTGGGTCATGTGTATCTGACCTCAAATATTCGTAAATAGCACGATACATTATTTCTCCCTCTGTTCAACTAGTTCTAATTCTCTATTTTTTTAGCAAAATTATTATCCAATTCTTAAATTCTGCCCAGCTTGTAAAGGTAAGCCCAACTTTTAATTTCAATACATTATTCAGACCCTCTAAATCTTCATAATCTTTGGAATTTGCACTAACTGATTCACTATTAAGGTTGGCACTACTAAGATAATTATCAATTCTAAAATCATCCTTTGCAAAAACATTATATGAAGAGGACCTAACATCAACAAAAAGATGATCATTTCCAAAATCATCTTTTGGGTTGCTATCATTCAATATTAGAGGGTTATGCAAAGAACTGGCATCAATAAGGTGATCAAAAGTGTTGTAAAAAAGACTTGTGCTAATAAGAAAGTCAAAGTTGTTATAAGAAGAACCAGTATCAACAGGAATATTAACAGTGTTATAAAAAAAACTAGCATCAGTAAAAAGATCAAAGTTGTAAGAAGAACTGGTAAGATGATCATTGCTAAAATCGTTCTTTAAATAATTTTAAACAAACAAGAAAGGTATCGTTATTATAATGTAATAGTTATAAAAAAAAAAAAAAAAAAAAGTCTACTTGTAATATAAAAAAACTATTGTTTGTGTTTAAACTTTCCGGATCTATATCAAAAAGAACTGATAATCCACATTGAATAAAAAAAATTCTCTACTATGTTAACTAGTTGCTATTTTAACTTATAGGTATGTATGTATATGCAAATTATTGTTTGTAATAGTTTGATTTTATTCCTGAACTTCTTATAACACAAAGTTTATTTTTTGTAACAACGAAATAAAAATTGAGCGATAATTATCACGATCTTTGTATTTATTGTAAGATCACTCATATTATCAGTGTCAAAACAATTACGATGCATCAATATATATAATTATGTCATAATGGCGAACCCACTAGAGCGAACAATTGAAACTATAGTATATAATATGTAATATAAATTATGATATCATTGTTGTATTGTGTAACTAGATATATATACATCTGGTGTAAATTAAGAAATTTTCATAAATATAATAGCTATTTAAACAAAATTTTATTAAAATAACTATTTTTTCTTTTTATAAATTAAAAGAATAGTTTTTACTTAATATACAAAATTGATTAGCTTAACAGTCAACTGATTTGTCACATATTTTATATATACAGTATTTTTTATATATAAAATTATAGCAAAAATATATAGAATT